AGGGAGGGAAATGCACGGGACTATGGTGGTGGCACAGGGGTGATTTGGTGATGGGAAACCCGTGGGGATTACAAATGAGATGAAAAAAAAAAATGTGAAAAATGATGTAAAAATAAACTTTTTAATAAAAAAAAAAATATACCCACAAACACAAAATGATATATGTAAATAATAGTTTTACATATATAGTTATATATAGTTAAAGTATAGTTTACATATATTAGTTATAGTTTATTTTTACATCATTTTGTGTTTGTGGGTATATTCTTTATGCACGTATACATATAAAAATATTTTTATACATATATTTTGTTTTCATATATGTATGAGGTAAACATTTATTACAGATAATACTTAGCTAAATTGCATTTATTCTAAAAAGGTCAATGTTCTGTGATTCTGTAGTAATAACTTAAGAAAAAAATGGAGGTTACTCTTAGAAAAAATGCCAGCTTGTAAATGAGAAATTGCATAATGGAATAAAAAAGTAATCATTGTTTAAGGGAACTGATTGAGCAGAACACTGTAGGGAAAGTAATTTTTCCTGTGTTCTCAAAAATATCACCCCACAAATTGCAAAGGCAGTGAACATCCTAATCAAATGGCTAAACTTAGAAACACCAATAGTGACATTAGGTGTTCCCTCATGTGATGGAATTTTACCTATGAAGTATTTATACTGGAAAATCTTTAAACAGTATTAAATCACAAGAAGTCAAATACAGGATGAGAGACATTTTACAAGACCACTGGACTGAATATTTAGAAAATAAATTCAGTGGAAGTTAAAATAGTCAGGGAACTATTTTAGATAAAAAAGACATAAGCAATTGTAGTCTCCCATAGCAGAGTTAACAGCCCCCTTTTTTGAGGCAGAAAATTCTAGAGGAGCAATGTACATTGTTCTCCTTTATTTCCCCACCAATATTTAAACTGAAAAAGAGGGCCTCTTTGATGATAGGGTTTGTCTGAAAAGGAACTGGCACAACATGTCCAGGATATTTTGGTGGTTACTAGAGTGTTCTTCACAGAAATATGTTAAGAACAAGTAGATTTTCTCAGAACAGAACTAGATTTTAAATTCCTCTATAGCAAATCAGTCTATTAACTTTGAATTCTGTAATCAAATTCAGAACGATTGTAAAGGGCTAAGACTTAAAAAAGAACACAAATAACCATCACTTACAAATGCAAAGGAGTGTTATTCTTCATAGATGGGTTTTTTGAGTAGCTGTACCCACATCCCATGTGAACTGCATCACTTAAAATATTCTTGGAAGTTCTCACTTGGAAATGTATTTCATGTGAATCTGAAGGACCAGGTAGCTCAGTGTTGCAACACAGGTGTTAGGGTTGCTCCATGCTGTTCCTGTTGGTTAGCCCACACTCAAAACTAAGTCCATAGTCAAGGAAGAGTTGAGAGAATTGAGACTATCAGTCTGGAGATGAGAGGATCCACGGGGACACAATTACTGCCTTCAGATATCTGAGTGGCCATCTGAGAAGGGCCATTGAATTTTCTGGGTCTGGCCTAGGGGGAATAGACCTAAGACAAAGGAGTGAAATCTCAGGAAAAATAAATTTGCTCAATATCAGGAAGAATTTCCTATTAAATGATACTTGGAGTGGGTTTTCCCAAGAGGCATGAACTCCCTATCACAAGGTTTATCAGACACCAGATGGTCACTTGGGAGAGAGTGGCAGAAGACAAACATTAGGTGGGTGGCTAGGTTAGCTAACTATTGATGTTCTTTTCAAGCCCAGTCTTAATTATCCCAGTAATCCAAGCCCTTTTCTTTAGGCCTAAAATCATAAATAGGTAGAAAAATTTCCCAGAGCTTATTATAAGGTAGCAAATGTAAGTTAAACTTCAGTTTATGATTCAGGGATAGCTTTAAAGGACATCGATTTTGAACTTTTACAGTGGCAAACATTATGATGAGTTCCTGTGTCTCCTTCCTGCAGTTTTTAGAGCCCTTCCTTTTAAATTGGGCTGTGTATTCTCACACCTTAATGCTTTCGTTGCAAGTGGGGTATCTGACTGTCATCCTTATCTCGTTTGCTGCTACCATTTGAGCTGAAAACTCCAGCTATCCAGAATTGGGCCTCACTGATTTAGGGCCAGATAGTATTCTCTGACTGATTAAACTACTTGGACTTTTTGGATATAGATTGTAGTTGCAAGCATACCTCTTTTTATATATTCTTGGTTTTAAGTAATGAGAAGCTAGTGGATAAAAGACCCCCAAATAAGTGAAGTATTAATACACAAATCACTGCTTAACTTGAAACAAGTAAATGCTCTTATCTGCCGTTTCTTCCATTCTCCTGTTGCCTACTTTTAGTGCATTTATCATTTAATTAAGATTACAGACAGGCGTAGTACTACAGTAAATGAGAATGCTCACAATTTGCATTCATATAACAGTATGTTTGCACATTAATTTTATAAGAAAAATTCTTAACTTTGATTTACAGAAGGTGACATTCCAAAAGGCCGTAGCACACTCTGTCAAGACGGCCCGCTTGCCAATCCAGGAATACATGGTCAGACGCCAGAATGGAAAAAATTATCATTCAGAGATACTGGCCATCAATCAAGGTACTGTTGACATGGCCCACAACCAGCATGTGTTTGTTCTAAGGCTGCTTCTTTGCACTCTGTTTATATATAAATTGCCCTTGATGAGGTCTGTGACTGATTGCTTGGACTTTACTGTGTGATCCTGTGACATGTCTTCTGACCACATGGAGGCATTATTCATTCTTTCTTGTTCTTTGATACAGTTGAAATTGGCCTTCTGGCCTAGAATGTCTGCTTTTAACCCACCCAAGAATTCCTATTTGTCCTTTAAGATTCAGTTTAGGGACATGCTGATTTTTATTTGCTTTTGGTTAACCATTTTGTTGTTGTTGTTGTTTATTTGTTTTTTCTTGTTCCCCTACCTTTTTGGTTTTATTTTTCTTTGTATTTTTCTTTCTAATTTTTAAATATTCCAACAACTTCATGGATTCTCTCCTCCCCATCTCAGGCAATTTTGGGGTACATTCTTTGTCTTCCCACTGCATAGTGCTCCAGTTTGGATTATTCATTCATGGGCTTCTATCTCTTGATGTAGGCTGCATTTCTGTGGCCAGGCAATGCCTTTATCTTGCCTCTTTTCTACCCAGGATCTCATAGTACCATAGTAGGTTTGTTGAGTGAAATATTCCAGAATACCCATTTCCCTCATTAGTCATGTACTAGTTCCCTTTTCCCTGTGTGGTCATCATGTTTTCTGTTTACCTTTTTAATAGTGTTTGATATCCTGTCTACTTACTTTGAAACTCAAAACTGGCCTGAAGCATTGAAGAAGGGAGTTTCTTGCAGAAAAGGCTATGTTCTTCAGAACTCAGTGGCATGATGGACAGTCTAAGATCACAAGTACATGTGGCGAAATTGCTGCAGAGGCCTTGACCAAGAAACAGAGCAGAGGGTAGCAATGGGACACACTTGCCTTTGACATCTTGGGTCTTCAGGAGCAAACAAGTTACTAATAACAAGGGACCACATTTTATGCCCTACTGTATCTCCCAGAGTGCCTGGCCCACGGAAAGTGCCCAGATACCTGTTGACTAAGAAAAAGTTTACATAACAACGAATTAACCCTAAAACAACATGGCTTTGGATGTGTTAATTCATTTTTTTTATATGTATTTGTGGAAAGCTGTCTCTTTGTATAGTCATCATTACATTGAGTTTAATTCACACTGACACCATAAAGTTACAAACTTTCTCCAATCTCCTCTGATCATGCCAACTTCTCCAAACTCAGGTATGCACTGTGTTAAGCCCTAGCCCTGGTTTATACCCCATAGTACTTTCTTGCAGCCTCTGGTTCCCGCCCTGTTCTCCCTTGTTCTAAGAAAGTGTATGGCTTTATTATTTCTGATGGCTGCCTCCTTTATGATAGTGTCTTTGTATCCATTTGAACCTTGTATATTCTTCAGACATGTTTATAATAAACAGGTCAAATTGAAAAGCAGATACACAGTATTTTCTTTTTTTAAATGGCTGAAAAATACATTACCTCTGATGGTAGCATGGTTGATAACCTCTTACTACACAAATCTCAGTGATCCCTCTTTGCTTGTGTCCTAGTTAGACAAAGTTGCTTCAATTACTTAGGATAGTTTGGTTAGTAAACTTGATATCTAAGCTGCCACCAAGTTCAGAAAATGTATTCTGTATCTCAAGAAAAAAAGTCTGCTCTGTCCCCTCCCTGTCACAATTTAATCCCTCCAGAGCTGTGATCACTTTTAATTTTCTTCTTATTTAAGAACAGCCCCTTCTTTAGCCTTTATCATATCAATGCTGATAAACTTGCCAGTCAAAAGAGCCCCTCTATTAATGGTTTCAGGGGGTTGCAATGCTCACATTCTCAGGAATGTCTTTGAACTTAGAACCATTAGCTTACATCATTTGTCAGGCTTCACTTTGACCTCTAAAGACTTTGTTTAAAATGCCAAATAGCATGGAAGAATATCCTTTCGTATCAAAGGGTAAGATCTCAAAAAATTTTTCAAGAACCTAGGCAGGTAAAATTTTTGCTGGCTACTAGGAAATGACCTTGGCAAATTTAAGATTTGACTGGACATGAAGATCCAACAATTATTTATAGATAAGTGTTGTTTACAGAGCAACATAAACTGGACATAACTCAAAAAACTGGACATATCCTGTAAGGTGAAAATAAAATACAACTACTGAATTTTCAATAGAGGTCAAAATTGATGTACTGAATGTTATCTGAAATGAACAAAATAGCATATAAAATATGACCCTCTAATTCCAATTTGAAAAACAAATTACTATAAAGTGGTTGATAATGAAGCCAAGTTAAAAGTCTGCCTATTTCAACAGGAAGATTAAGTGCCTTTTGCAGAGTTAGAATAAGTGAGTTCATCTATGCAGAAAACTTGGAACAATATTTAGTACACAACAAAGTCACTGTGGCGGTTAGCTGTTACCCACTAAATAATAGGATTACAGACAGGTTTTGCCTTTCTTGTGCTTTTTTATGTGTTCTACATTTGCTTTAGTGAACATGTTTTACTATTATCAAAAAAATTTATTTTAATGCTGCCAGTTTATTGTAGCAGCTATCCTCTAGCAAAACTAAGGGAGGTTAACTTTAGTAAGCTTTATTGTAAAAAACAAACAAAAAATATACATCATGTTTTACTCACCTACAAAAAATGGGGGGCAACCAATACTTTTTAGTAAAAATTTTAGGAGTCCTGTCTTCAGCAGATTTAATAGGGAGAGGTTCACCTGAAAAAAAATTTCCCCAGGTAACCCACAGTTTCTTGCTTCAAAAAGTCCACACAGATCAACTTTCTGCCAATCTGGAAAAGATTTGTTTCCTTTGATCTGCTGTCATATGTTCACAAGCTTCTAAAATGTTTGCCAAAATTAAAGTCTGCTGAATAGTTTTTGCCTTAACCCATATTCTTCCATTCATTCCAAAAACAATCTCCAGTGGGTAGAGTTTTCCTACCTCCTGCAGGATTTCACAGTCTGGTGCTAGTAGCCTGGTGAAGAAGAAAATGAAATTTAATAAAAAGTGTAAGTGTGGTCTGTTTTTCCTTTTCCAGTTATCCCGTTTTTCAAAGCCCCACCAGTATCATTCCAGAATCAAGGTACATGCCATCTGTCCTTTCTTCCAAGCAGCGTTATACTTGCCACTTATCAGAGCTCACAACAGTGTACTATCTTCTACAAAGATAAGCCCCTGGTGTCACCAACTTGACAAAAAGTTCTGTTATGTTTTTGTCAAAGAACAACATTCATCTACATAAGAGCACCTTAATTCTAGACTTTAGAAATAGCTATTTTAAGCTCTGTGGAAAAAAAAAAACTTTATTTTCTGCTTTATTTTCTGAAGTTATCAAGGTATTTAAAGAGGCCATGTTAACTACTTTGAGTCTCAAAGGTTAATAACATACTGCTCATCTCCTAAACTGACTCTCCAAAACTACAGAAAAAGTAGCAAGAAGAGATGCAAGATAGCTCTGAATCTCAGTAGCTCTAGATGTAAAAGCTTTTAGTAGGCATAGTTTTGGGGAGGTAAAGGATGAGATTATGCATGGGTTTACTATTGTTCTAAAATGGATACTGATTTCAACTTTAAGGGGATTTATACACTGACAAAACAATCTAAATTCCAAAGATTAGTCAACTTTCTAAAACAGGCTAATTATAAAAGAAGACAGATAAGCCAGAAGACATTAGAACTTACTTTCGAATTAAGCCTAAAGTCACTTTAAAAAGCAGACCATCCTGTCCAATCACACCCATTCCATTAGCTCGTCCACAGCTGTCAATACAGACCATTTCTGGTTCCATATCTTTGTTAGCAACCACAAACTGGCCATAGATGAGATCTCCAACCTACAATGATAATTAAAAACAGTTCATTTCCTCTAAGCAAACCATTCTATGATGCTGTTTTGGTTCTTTCCCATAGGGAATAATGTCAGCCACCTACAGTTCTGTGACTAAGAAACTCACTATACACCAGGAAGTCCCCGTCACTCTATAGCTGACTTAAAAAGAAGGCAAAATCAACACTGTACTCCCGGCCCTTCACCCACTAGGAAATCCACAGACTGGCCGCCATCCAAAGCCAGAGAACATGCTGGCCATTACCCACATGCAGTTATTTAAACACATTTAATTTAAATTAGATATTTAAAATCACCTCTTCTGATGCATTAGCCACATCTCAGGCATTCAACACCCACCTGGTGCTAGAGGCTACTATGCCAGTGAGTGAAGGTACAAAACATAAGCATCACCACAGGAAGTTTATTAGATAGCACTGCCTTAAGAAATTACAGGATGGACTGATAGAAGAAAATAGCTGGCAAAAAAATTATTCAAAGTACAAGGGAACAATGGTAATTCATTGGCACTTCTCAGTATAAGATTTACTTAACAAATTTCAGATGAAACTAAGGAAATGGAGAGTGTACTTGTTCTGTTAAGTACCAACTGTTGATGACTATAGTAACTAGAAACAAAGAATTCTGTTTTTCAGAAGCATTTGGTCTCAGTGGGTAAAGGGATGTATAAATAAACAATAAACTTCATTCAAGGCTAAATCCAATAGGTACTGGAGCAAAGCTACCACTTGACTTGGTCCACAGTGACTGAAACTATAAACTATTATTTTGTTTAAAAAGTGCTTTTTATGAGGGAAAAAAAAAGCGACTGAACCTTACTAATGGTTTTACAGAGCCTACGGTGTTTACCCTGGGTTTTGAAATATAAGCATATGCACCACAGACTAAGACAGAGGTGAAACAATCCAGAGGGAACAGCATGAGCAAGAGTAAAAGGGCAGAAATCGTGACCAGTAATGCTGTTAAGCTGGCATGGCTCAAACATGGCTGCGTGGAGGACATGATTATAGATAAGGGAAGATCTATGGAGTATGAGCAAGAATATATGTAGGCTTCAATAAGCTGTTGTTTTTGTTTTTTCCCTGAGAAAGGAGAGTGGGTGAGGCTATCAACTCAATATTAAAGCTAGGAGGGGGAACAACAGTACTGGCAGAGATGCTTGAGTCACTGACTCAGTCTGTAGTAGCTATGGACCAAGTCAAGTGGCATCTAAGGCCTGGGGAACATAAGGAAGATCTGAGATGGAATCAATAAGGTCATGCCACTAAAGACACTAGACAAGTGAGACGGGGTAAATTTCTGGCTTGGGAGGACAGGAAGAGCGGCTAATGTTACCTAAATTGCCCAAATTAAACACTTGAAGTAACTAGATCGCCCCCCTGTCAGTTCCAAGGGACTGTTGGGAAACAAAATGATTTGACTTAAGTGAGATACTATTGCTAGAAGGAAGAGTGGCTGATAGGGCAATTTGCATTTTCTCTCCTTGCACCTATGGCTTGTTTACTTATTTGTACGATGGCTGTGGATGTAACAAATAACAATGGACAGAAATAATGGTTCAACTCAGTAGAAAGGAAACATCCCCCAGTGCAGCAAATTTAAAGGGCACAGCTTTGACCCCATGTAGGCAGAGGAAGGCATTTTGGACCCTGGAGAAACCACACAGATGCTTGAAGAGTATCCTACAGAAATGGAAAGTAGGTCATGCTCTAAAGACAATTCAGGTAACATTCTGGATATTTAAATGTTTCTAGGTATCAGTATGATTTTCTTTGGAAATCAAAGATTCCCATTATTACCTGTACATTGGGTCTGTTTCTTTTAGTGGCACCTTCAAATGCCAAGTAAGACAAAGAAGCTGGCTCACTCCCTCCAACGTCAACTTTGAAAATATCTCCAGACTTGGCTGTCACTATGCCAATCACATGGTCTCCTTTCACCGGGACATACTATAAAACAGAATGAGGAAAATCATAATGACAAACATTTCCAAGATATCTTGAAAAATACATTAACAAAGTCCTTAGTGTTGACTTAGTTTTAACGTTAAGACAACAATTCTTGCAACAAACTTAATACGCCACTTTCAATAAGAGAAAAACAATCTATCACGGCCTCTAGTAAGCCAATGTTCCCTTGAACCAATATCCCGTATTTATTCAGTCTCCTTATCAGGAAGTTTCTAGCTTTGCTTGAACATTAGTGGCACCGGGGGTCCTTAAAGCCAAGTAAAGTCATTTAATTGTTAGCCATTTTTCCTGTGTGAAAGGTTTTTCTTACTCTTAAGAGAAACAATTTGCCATAACATCCATCGAGCCTGGCTCTGCTCTTTGGGACCACAAAAAATGACCCTGGTGCTTCCTGGCCTTAGGAGTTTTGAAGACTACGATCATGTCCCACCTATCCTCCATTATCCCTTATGCAGACATTCCCAGCCTTTCACTCCGGGTCACCCTTCTCGGGTACGTTCAGTTGTCACGGTCCGCCTAAAGGAGCCGCACAGGTGGGCACGACTAGTGTGGCTGTAGGTTAACTGCACTAGGGGCCACCCCGCCTTTTCCCAGAAGTGTTCCAAGGCGGGGATAACAATCTCAACAATCGCAGCTCACCCGCTTCTGCTGCGAATCCACCCAGTAAACGCCACCGCCGCCACCGCCGCCGGGTTCCTTGTGACGGAGGCGGCCGCATTTGGTGACCAGCAGGCGGTCGCCACTGCGCCGCAAGCCGGGACCGCACACAACGCGCACTCGGGAGCGGGGCCCGGCATTCAGGCGCAACGGTCTCTCCCCAGCGCCTCCCGGGCCGTCGGCGTCCTCCTGCTCCGGCAGCAGCAGCTCCTCACCCGGGAGCACCACCTGGTCTAGAACTGTGCGCGCCGCCCGCGCCCTGTCACGGGCGACGGATTCGGTGGGGGCAGTAGCCGCCTCACTCATGGCGTGCGCCACCACACACGGCTTCCGGCTTCTGATACGTCTCCGTTTCCGGTTTCTGCTTCCGTCTCCGCATCCAATCGCCGGCCAGCCCACGGATTTCCGTTTCCGGCAGTAGCTGTCTGAAGGACTAGAACCGACTTCTATGAAAGCCCGAAAACTGCCAGCTAAGGCGGTGCGTCTAGCCGACGATTTATCCTGAACTCTGCTTGCAGGGCGCGAAGAGAAACACGCGGCTTGAGCCTCCACTTCCGGTGCTTGGGTGGTGACGCGCTCCTGGGGAACGCGGTGACAGAGCTGTGAGAGCTTCTGGAACTGGCGACTACCGACCCCGCCCTCAGAAAACCTGATTGTTGCTAGGGGAACTGCCTCCTCATTTTGTGGAAAACAGAAAAGAAAACGTAGTCTTGTTCCGTTCTCTTCCTCCCCACACTGTTAACTTGTTCTTATTCTGAGTAGCTCAATGAGTAATACCGGATGAATGAAGGTTGATATTTTAGTGTGTATATTTCCTCCAGACTGTTTTTCCCCCCTGCACACATTACTTGCCCCCACCCTCTTTTCTATTTTATTTTATTTTTCTTTTACATAATTGGCGCTAGCCCTGCCTGGTCTAGGACAATCAATAGTACTTAAATCCTTGCCGCTACTTTATCTAACTCATTTCAGTTGCTCTTGTGAGCAGCAGCTAACTTACAAATCCAAATCATTTCAGAGTTTTGCTCTATTAAGTTTCAGGGCTTTTATTTGAAATCAAGTCAAATCAAATAAATGTCAGGTGGCACCCTTCAAATAGTGTTTGGATTCCCCAGATTCTCCAGAGGACGTGCGCGCTGGGGAATGGGAGGGCTTAGCTTTTAACAGATGGCCTTTCTCAGTCCACCTTTTCTATTGCCCATCTCTGAGACATTGCTTCCAATGTGAATTTTTTAATCTTTGTTTACAACAGTTTATCTCTCACATACATCCATATCTAACAGAATGGCCATCCATATTTGACAAGATGCTAGCAAGTAACTGAATAAGAAAATTAAAAGAGACCAATTAAAATGTAGCTTGTGGGAACCCTCCCTGGTGGCGCAGTGGGTTAGAGCGAAGCTAAGCCAAACTGTGGTCACTTCTGCGAGTTCGAGTTCAATCCCTGCCCGGATGTGATCGACATTGGAGGGTGTGGGGTGCAGACTGACCTCCCCTGACCCGCCCGCTGCCCACTCTACTCCCCACTCTGATGATGGTGAATCCTCTCACTGCATCTGCACCTCTGGCATGTACCCCATTTTTGTATGCATAAATATATATATATATATATATATAAAAAGAAATGTAGCTTGTTTTGCAGTCAGACTATTGTAAGAACTATTCTTGGTCCGTTTCCTTGGGTGGAAGTAAAGTGTAGATTCTTTCTCCTCCCTTCTCCAACCCAGTTTAGAGTCTAAACCCAGTAGGTATTTGAAGACCAAAATTGCCTGCTTCATGGCTGGCCCAAGGTTATACCCAGAGGGTGCTAAAGGACTTCCTTCTGGTCAGGCAAAGGAAGCAGAGGACATGATTTCTGAATTGTCCTTCACATTTCTTACGTCGGTGAAGGCATCTCGAAGAAACAACCGAGACCTGGCTGCGGAGACCTATCAAGGCCATCCCCGGGCGGGGGCAGCCCGTGGTCACTTGCCTGCTTACTCCAATCGATCTCAACAGAAAAACAGTAACTGGGGGGGAGGCTTGCGGCCTAAGACCGGAAGCGCAGGCTGTGGGGGGCGGCACCTCGCTGGTCACGCCCTCTCCCTCGTGCCCAGGGGGCGGGCCTAGAGGACGCCACGGGCAGGAAGGCTGCCTGGCTGAGCGCTGTACCGCGCGCCGCCATGTCCGCACTCCAGCGTCTGCTCGCCCTGGGACCACCGGTGAGTGGGAGCGCATGGACCGGGGTTGTCGGGCAGGGGTCTGGACATGCGGAGGCCTTCCGTGGGTAGGTAGACAGCGGAGGATTGGGGGGGATTGTGCGAAGGCCGGGTGCTAGCCGCCTCCCAAGACTGTGGTGGCTTGCTGGTCTCGCGGGTGTCCCGCGAGGTGTCGGTTACAAAATTCGCATTTCCGAACGCCAGTTACTGCTTTGTCTCAATGTAAAAGAATGCAGCAGGGCCCATACAGCCTGCTGGCCCGCATTAGTGGAGTAGGCCGCTGATCTAGGGGGTTTGCAGTCTTGGAGAAGCTTCAACGACCTAACGCCACCCCTTCCCATTTCTGGAGAGTCCCCTTACGGAAATTTCTGAAGTGCCTTACTGAAAGTTTGGGTCAGACTGAGGTCTCCCAGACTGTTTCCTGAGTCTCTCATTAGAAATCTCTGCTTTTAAGAAAAATTACTTTTATGTACCTATGCATACAAAAACAGGTGTAGACCAGAGGTGCGGGGAGTGATGAGGTGAGAGGATTCGCCAGAGACAGAGTGGGGAACGGAACAGGCAGATCTACTGAAATACACTGCTGAGGGGATCAGCACACTAGACAAAAGAGGTCTGCCGCGCCACGTGGTCAGCTCTCTGGCAGAATCAAACTCATGCTACAGAAGCTGGAGCTATCTTGATAGCTGAAACTTTAACTTCCGCCCCACAAGGGAGAAACAAAAATCTCTGCTTCTTGAGAAGCTGGAAACTAGTACCTCAAAGTTGCTTTTCTTTGCTGAGTGGTGCGGTTTGGCATTTTCCATTTTCTGTCAATCAAAATAGATGTCCTAAGGGAAGTAATATTTGAGTGAACCTTAAAACTTTTCAGTTAACTGGTTTCCAGAAATTGCAAGGAACCAAATGCTGATATGTCTACAGCAGTTAATAGTAAAAGTAACCATAGAAAAACTTGAATATCTTTTGTTTGTTAAAGGATTTACCATAAATGTTCACAATTATCACTGCACAGAGGAGCACCTAATAGCACATGTTCGTAACCACAAAGAATCATGGCTAGTGAGAACTAGAGAAAGCTTTTTAAAAATGTAAGAATAACATCCATAAGGAGCAGTATAACCTCTAGCATTGAGAGAACCCATGGAAAAGCTCCTCCCTCTTGTCCAGGACTGATCTAAACTTTGATTGAATGGGCTTGACTGTTGATTGGCAGAAAATCACTGGGAATCTGTTCAACTGGAACTTGCTAGAAATCCACCCTCCAGAATGTGCTGGAACAGCTTAGGAAAGCTGTTACTCAGGAGTTTGTCTCCTGGAGGCCTCTGTTAAACTAGCTAATGGATGCTGGGGGAAACTGCTGGCTGCTTCTGGCCCCCATGTAGAGCAGGAGCAGATGCTGGAGAAGCTATCATAATACTACAGGAATATCAGAGAGTGCATTGGAATCAGGAAGCAAGCCCATTCCTCCTGCAGTGCCTCTGCAGAGCAAAGATGATTTTAAGGCTCAGGTCAATTTTCTCAGAGCAGGCAGTGAAGGGTGACTTCAGAGCTGAATGGCACAGATTAGTGGCACAGGTATTTGTTGTAAGATCAACAAACTCAATCGTAACAGCAGTAATGTAGAGTGCTCAGCCCCAGGGGACTTCACTGATAAATTCTACCAAACACTTAAAAAGTAATACCCATTCTCCACAAATCCTCTACCCCTGCCAGAATGGAAGGGAACACATCCTAACTCATTCTGTGAAGGAACTATTCCCCTGATATCAGAACCAAAAACATAGGAAGAGAGAACTATAGATTTCTTTTATAGAGACAAAAATCCTCAACAAAACACTACAAACCAAATCTAGTAATACATGAAAAGGATTATATACACCAAGGCCAAATGGGATTGATGCCAGGAGTGCAAGGTCCTTTAACACCTGAAATCTATTAATGTAATATACCATATCAATAAAATAAGACATAATAGAATAACATCTATTATGCCAGTAGATACATAAAAAGATCCTATGTTCAAATTAAACACTTTATGAATCATTTCACATGAATCATTTGGTTCTGAATCATGTGATAACATACTTCCCACATTGGTATACAGATGCAATACAGTCCTAGTTAATACTCTTAACTGTCTTCATTGCCCAAAAAAGTCAATAAACTGATCCTAAAATTGTTTCAGAAATCTAGGGGATAAAAGGGAGTTAAAAAATCTTGAGAAAGAACAAAATGAAAACAGGAAGGAGAACTCACTTCTTAATTTCAAATCTTACTACAAGGCTCATAGTCAATCAAGACATTGTAATACTAGTATAGTGATGAATGCAGCTCAGTGGGATGGAATTGGGAACATATTAGCAAACTAACATTTTGATCAACTGGTTTTCAATAAGGATGTCAATACATCATGGAAAAGAATCTTATAAGTGATATTGGGACAAGTGTATATCCACATACAAAAAATGAAGTTGGACCTCTCTTTCAAACTGTTGACTCAAAATGGATCAAAGATGTAAATATCAAAACTAAAGTTATAAAAACTCTTAGAAGAAAACAGAGATGGCAAAGGTTTTTTTCAGATATGACAGCACCAAAACCACAAACACCAAACTAAAACTTCAGAAAAAGTAATCAAGATCAGACTTTTGTGCTTCATAAGGCCACCATTAAGAAAGTAAACAGATGACCCACTGAATGGGAGAAAATATTTGAAAATCAAATATCTGATGAAGGACATGTACTTAGAAAATTATAACTCTGTAATAAAAATACAAATGACCAAATATTAAAATAGACAATCTGAAGAGGTATATCATCAACGAATATATGAATGGCCAGTAAGCACATGGAAAGGAACCATTTCACCCCCATTAAGATGACAATAATCAAAAACAGATAAAAACGGCCCTCCTTGGTGGCACAGCGGGTTAAAGCACAGTACTAAGAAGCTGAAACCACTTCCGCATGAGATCGATTCCCGCCTACTCCAGAGGTGACCACATGGTATGGCAGACCTCTTCCTGGCCCGCCCACTGCTCCCCTCAGGGTTGTACTTCGTGGATCTGCCTGTTCTGCTCCCTACTCTGTCTCTGGTGAAGCCTCTCACCACCCCTGAGCCTCTGGCCTATACCCCAGTTCTGCACAAATAAGTAAATCTTTAAAAAAAAAAAAACAAAAAACAGATAAAAACAAGTGTTGACAAGGGTGAAGTAATACTTGAAGCCTCCTGTGTTGGTAGTGAAAGTACAATCTGATGCAGTTACTTTGGAAACTAGTTTGACAGTTCCTCAAAAAATTAAACATAGTTACCATATAATATGGTAGCACTACTCTTTGTATATACCTAAGGAGATTAAAAACCGGTTATCATAAAAACTTGGACATGAATGTTCATAGCAGAATTATTCATTGTACCTAAATAACTGCATGCAATAATGCAAATGGCCATCAGTTGATGAGTGAGGGTACAAAATACGATGTATCCACCCAGTGGAATATTACTTAATAAGAAGGACCAAAAGTACTGATATATTCTACAACATGGATGAACACATAAAACAGTATGGTGACAGAAACCAGATTCAAATGTCCACATATTTTATGACTCCATTTATATGAAATTCTGAGATAAGCAAATCTAGAGTGATTGAAAGTTGATTAATGGTTGCTATGAGCTGGGGGAAAGGAGATCCTAGGTTGGAGTTAATGTTAAAAAGTGTTTAGGAGAAACGGAATACCAGCCCTGAGGTTTGTAGATTGACCTTGGATTTAAAAATGATATTGAATTTTCATCCGTAGCAATAAGTTTGTATACAGTATAGCACAATGGTTGTGAATGTGGGCTCACTTGAATCTTAACTCAGCCACTTGTAGGCTGTCACTTTTCTATCTGATTTTTCACCTCTAAAACGGTAATAATAGTACCAACATGACTTGAATTTTGAGTTACATATATAAGATTGCCAGAACCATGTTAGGCATATATTAAATATTTTATGAGTCTTTACATGTTACATGAGTATTTAATATTACATGAAGAAGCACTTTCCTAAGTATTATTTTCTTTGGGTTAAAAAAGCCTCCCTGATTCAAAGGACATATTTTCTTTCTGGGTTATCATTTTAATTTTTCTTGTCAGTGTGTGAGCTCTATCTGAAGTGTTGTGAACCCAGTCGCACAATAAGGAAACTGAAACTTGAGAGGTGATTCTGGTACTTCAGAGAGATCTCAACAGCAGAACCCAGAGTCACCTAAGAAGTCTAATCTATTCTTAGTCCTTTTTCTAGTCACATATTCTTGTACCACCAACTTCTTTCTCTTTCTTGTCCTCTCACTCCTTACAACTGCAGCTTACTCATGATTTCTCGCATGCCTTTCTGTGCTCGTGACCATCATATCTCTTCACTCTGCCGTGTGTCAGTCCCAACTGTCATTGCCAACTAGTTCACTTCTGATTTTCCAATTGAAATCCCAAGGGTGTGAATCTCTGTGGGCAGAGCTTTTTGACCTGGCAGCCTCATAAACTAGTGCCAGTGATTTGGCTACTTAAATACTTGCTCCACACTGGCTGTGGATAGGGGAAGCTGAAAAAATGACAAAACTCCAGTCAAGACCTTTCCCTTAATAGAATGTAGATACTGGCAGAGAAGAGGGGTGAATGTGAGGCCAGTAGATTACTATAGTCAACAGGGGCAGTTGAGGGTTTTCAGAGGGTTTGAGGGCAACTATACATAGTGTTTATTCAGTGCAAGTTTCTGTTCCAAGAGCTTTATGGCTATACATGCTCATTAAATCTTCACAACAACCCTCTTGAGTTTGGGGTTATTACTCTCCTTACTTATATAGATGAAGAACTGTGACTTGCCAGAGGTCATGCAGCTGGTAAGCAGCAGTCAGGATGTAGACCCAGACCCTCTGACTTTAGATAGCCCAACATTATACTATCTCACTGGCTCAAATTTTCTGAACTCAGCTTTCTAGAAAAGCATATTCTTGATTATCTCCCACTCCTATCAGAACCTTGTATTTATCTATGTGGGGCAAGAAGAGGTTAGTATTTAAATGTGTTTGCTTAGAGTATTATTTGTTTTTACATTTTTTAGTTAGATTTTTTTTTAAAGATTTATTTATTCATATAGAACTGGGGTACAGGCCAGAGATGCGGAGGGTGAGAGGCTTCACCAGAGACAGAGCAGATCTCCCCAGCAGAACAGGCAGATCGACGAAGTACACTGCTGAGGGAAGCAGCGGCGGGTCAGGAGAGGTCTGCCACGCCATGTGGACTCCTCAGGGGCAGGCGGGAATCGAACTCATGAGGAAGTGGCTTAAGCTTCGTAGTGCAGTGCTTTAACCCGCTGCGCCACCAGGGAGGGCCCAAGATTTATTTATTTATTTTTTTTTTTAAAAGAGACGAAGTGAGAATATAGACTTTGGAAGCAGTTCTGATTTGAATCCATGTTTAGTGAATCCAAACATTTATTTGTTTGATCTAAACTACTTGAGCCTTAGTTTTTTTATGTGTAAAGTGCAAGATTGCTGGGAGTATTGATGAGTGTATCTAGAAGATCTAGCACATATTAGCAGGTGATAAAATTCTGATAATCATGGTAAAATTAAAAGGGCTGCAGAAAGGCTTCACGGACAGGGAGAACTCCAAGTTTCATTAGCAGTAAGTGGTATATGAGCTGAGCTTTAGGGTAGGTATTACAAATATGTTCTTTGGGCCACCATGCCTTCCTATCCCTTTCTCATGTCAGATATTACAGATGGATTACATCATTGATTCTGGTTGAGTCCTGAATTTTTTTCATGATTGCTTTAGGCAGGGAGTTGTAATCAGTATGAGTTGGCCCAGGATGTGGAACCTGTTTACTGTCTTTCCTTTGAGCCCAGATTGCTGTGCAAGCCTCTTTTAGTAGCCTATCTAAACCTGTCTTTGTTTCCATTTAGACTCTTCTTATGACAAATAGGTTTTGGAAAAAGTTACCTGTGGTGACCCTAAACTCACGCCCTTATGAGACTCAGCAGGAAGAGATGTCCAGACCCGGCAGCCGTTACTCCATTCCCTATAAGAAGGACCTGCCGTTTGACATTGTAGAGCTCATGGAAGAGACCGAAAAAAAGGTGAGACACCCTTATTCAGGAGACAGGCAGGGTGGAATCCATGGAAATGCCCCATTCTGTCCAAGTTCTCATGGTGGGTGAACCCTTCCTTTGGGGACATAGATTTTTTTTTTTTCTCTTACATTAAGCACAGCCTCTTATGTTCTGGGACTTTGTTATCCAGTCCTCGGACCACTTGAGACTGAGGTGTCTTTTTGTAGTTCCCATTAGCACTGTAACATGATTGGAGATAAAACCACTGAGATATGTGCTAGCTACCTAACTTTAAGTGTGAGAGGTATTTTGCTCTTCCCTAAAATATATATATATATATTATTTTACAAAAGTTTATTTTTACATCATTTTGTACATTTTTTTTTCCATCTCAATTGTAATCCCTAAGGGTTTCCCATCACCAAGTCACCTGTGTGCCATCACCATAATCCCGTGCATTTTCCCATTCCCCACTCCACCCCCACAAAATGTCTCTGGTATATGGTTGTTCATTATTTTTGTTACTGAAATATATTTTTCAAATTATGTCCCAAAACTTACAGAAATTTTAAATAAGCAGAAAAATCAGAAATAATGACTATAATTGTTTTCTGTCAAGATCACTATTAGCATTTTGATGTGCTTCCTTTTTCCTTATGTAAGTAATAAACAACTTTTTTTTAAATGAGATCCTATTGTCATCAGTATTTTTCTAGGTCAAATATTATATTTAGTGATACAGCATTGAATAAGATTTTGTCATTTTAGTTATCTACAAATTTTGGACATTTAGAATTTGTAATAGGTGTTCATACATATACCTTTTTGTACATCTTTAAATTATTTCCTGAGGGTAGTTTTTTAAAACTTATGCTCTGTTGCCAAGTCACAACACCATTCTATAAGCAACAAAAAAAGAAAGAACTTTTGTTTTTATTTTTCCAAACTAGGTGGTAGAATTTTGGTTTTTATTTCCAAACAAAATTTTTTTTTGTTTGTTTGTTTCAAGTATTTTTATTTTCATTATAACATTAGTGGCTTATCATATTTTTTTTATTACAAAAGTTTATTTTTACATCATTTTGTACATTTTTTTCCATCTCAATTGTAATCCCCGCGGGTTTCCCATCACCCATGTGCCATCACCATAATCCCGTGCATTTCCCTCCCCCCACCCCGTTTTTGATCCCATTCCCCACTCCACCCCCACAAAATGTCTCTGGTATATGGTTGTTCATTATTTTTGCCAAACAAAAATTTTTTAAAGATTTATTTATGCATATAAGAACTGGGGTACAGGCCAGAAGTATGAGGGTGAGAGATTTACCAGAGACAATGAGGAGCAGAACAGGTAGATCCACTGAAATACACTGCTGAGGGGAGCAGTGGGCAGGTCAGGAGAGGTCTGTTGCCTTGTGGGTCAGCTCCCCAGCCCAGGATCAAACTCTCACAGGAACGGCTGCAAACAGCGCCCCTCCAGACAACATCTTGTGTAGAAATCTAGGGTTTAAAAAGTTAAAAATCTGCCGCCTGGTTGAGAAATATTTGGAGCTTCCTATTTTTCCCTCAATACCATCACCACCTGCTTCTACCTAACTGCTTCTCCACTTCCTCCCCAACCTCTACCCTGGCTGATATATTAATAAATGTTTTTTATAGTCCATCTACTAAAACAGTAATGAATTTTTAATGTCTGTTATCTGTTTTAGCTATAGGTAATAGCTAATAGAAGGACAATTCAGTGTCTCACATAACAACAGGTCAGAGACAGGGTGACTCTTGAATTATTTAATCCAGTGACTTACTGACATCATTAGCATTGGGTTCTTGCATTTGGTTCTGTCTTTCTCACTGTAACATCTCTGTGCTCACATCTGTCCTCCTGTTGGTCATTAAATGATTATAAACTTCTCATCCTTGCACAATTTTATATTGCTTTTGGAGAGAGAAGACTGCTCCCACCTGATTTCTCCTTAGTGTCACTGGTCAGAATATCTTGTGCCTATTCCACTCACTGACAAGTGGAATAGAATCTGGTTTGGTCAGTCAGGATTCACACTCTAGAGTTGGGGAAGTGCTTAGTTACCTTTGAAACCCTTAGCAGTCTTATATCCAGGTATGACCTTGGGCAAGTCACTCAACCTCGCTGGGCCTTAGTTTACTTAATTGGGGGTAATGATAGCTGCCTTTGCCTACTTTACAGAGTTTTGCAAAGGAAAAATGTGACTCAATCTATGAAAAAAGTTACAAAGTACTTTACTGATATCAAGACTTACTGATCACTTAATTCTTAGACATAAATGAATACCACCAGCACCTCTGAAAAGAACCTATAAAATTTAAATTCCAAGAAGTGCTAGTTAACATTCACTCTAAATTTTGCAAAAAGACGTAACAAAAAGAAATCCCATACACCTTTGGAAGTGACACAGTAGGATCTCCCTGGTAGTGCAGAAGTTAGATCTCAGTGCTATCACTGCGATGGCCTGACTTCGATCCCAGCCAGGGAGCTGACCCACACCTGGCACAGGTGACCTCTCCCGTCTTGCCCGCTGCTCCCCTTAGCAGTATATTTCTGTAGATCCGCCGGTTCTGTTCCATCTCTGATGAATCCTTTCACACCCTGCATTTCTGGTGTACACCCCAGTTCTTCTAAACAAATAAATCTAAAAAAAAGAAGTCACTCTGTACCCTAAAAAATGAAGGTACATGTAAATTGTGCTTTGACACCAAGGCTGTGATCTTTTTTTTAAGAGTTATTTATTTGTGCATACAGATACAGAACTGGGGTACAGCCCAGAGGTGCAGGGGCGGTTGAGAGGATTCACCAGAGACAGCGGGGAGCAGAACAGGCAGATCATGGAAGTACACTGCTGAGGGGAGCAGCAGGCGGGTCAGGAGAGGTCTGCCTTGCCATGTGGATATCCTCCAGGGCAGGCAGG